TAAACCCTAAATCCTAAACCGTTCGAGGCACTGGGAGGTTTTGGGGCGTTTTAGTTTTTGCCTTTGCAGGGCTTGGGTTGTGTGTTCGGATGTAGCTTGTGTTATGTAGGCACTTATAGGGTTTAGGGTTTATACGGGTTCAGGGTTTAGGGTTTAGGGGTTTAGGGTTTAGGGTTTAGGGTATAGGGTTTAGGTTCAGAGGGGTTGCACGTGCCCGCACATACGTTGGCGTCAGACTGGTTCCTTCATGCTGTACTTTCGGGGGCAGATACTATACGTTCACATGGACTCTTAGGGACGTCGGTGCTTAGGATGCTTTGGGCCAGAGTGCAGCTTCAGATGCCACTACAGACATGGTAACTTGTCAAGCATCAGGCTTGAAGCTCCGCTGTCTCCGAAGACGTAGCCCCTAAACCCTAAACCCTAAACCCTAAACCCTAACCCCTAAACCCTAAACCCCTAAACCCCTAACCCCAAAACCCCTAAACCCTAAACCCCTAAACCCTCAAATGGCAGGAGGGCATCCAATGGGGCAACTTCTTGGATGCGCTGATTGTCTTGTTCGGCTTGACGGACTTGGTGATTGCGAAAATCGTGCTGCCACATGAAGGACCCGACATCCATATCCATATGCATAAGCATTTCCTCCAGTCTGCACTTGTCGAAGTTTCCTTCTCTATCTCTCTCTCTCTCTCTCTCTCTGTCTTCCCTGTCTTTCTCTCTACACACATATATATATATATATATATATATTATACACGCACCCTAGCCTATAGACATAGCCCAGCGAACGACACTAGTTGACGCTTATGCACTGGACCGTCAGCTTTGCAAAGGCACTTCTTGCATTGTTGTCTTTTTTACCATGGTTTTCCTTCAATAGGCCCTAACCCCGAGCCGCAAACCGTAAACCCTAAACCTAGGACGCGACATCCTGAGCCTAGGACACGCTTACCTGAACCCTACACCCGAAACCCCTAAACCCTAAACCCTAAACCCCTAAACCCTAAACGCCTAAACCCTAAACCTCTAAGCCCTAAACGCTCAAACCCCTAAACCCCTAAACCCTAATCCCCCAAACCCTACGCCCCTTCATAAACGCTAACCCCCTAAACCATGCAGGCGACACCCCAAGCCCCTATGCTACGGCCGCTGGACTTCGGACCCTCACCCGCCCTAGCTGTCCAAACTACCTATTACTTCGGTACTTGGTTTTAGGGTTAAGGCATGAATTCGGTACTTGGGTTTAGGGTTTAGGGTTTAGGTATGAATTCGGTACTTGGGTTTAGGGTTTAGGGTTTGGGGGTTTAGGCATCAATTCGGTACTTGGGTTTAGGGTTTAGGTATTAATTCGGTACTTGACTTGGTGTTTAGGCTTGTAGTTCTGTAGGTTAGCTGTTGGAAAAGCCCCTAAACCCTAAACCCTAAACCCTAAACCCTAAACCCTAAACCCTAAACCCTAAGGCACTTGAGCCCTGGAGCCACAGAGGTGCAGGGTTTACAGGTTTAGGATTTACCTGGACCCTTCAGAACTTTTTTGGGATTCCTTAGTATGACTTCTAAAAACAAGTCCTAAAAAAGGTGGGTTATTTGGGGGTGAAGGAAGGGCTTTTGGGTTTAGGGTTTAGGGGAGCAAGAGGAGAATCTCACGGCGGCGCAGTTTTACTGCGCATTCTGCGCGTCGGCAAGGTTCGCGCTACCTGGGGCAGTCCTGCGAGGGTTTGAAGCCTTAACCCTCAATCTCTTGAGTGCTATACACCCCTAAACCCTAAGCCCTAAACCCAAAAACCGAAGCCCCCGAACCCGAATGTCTGTACTTACACTCGGAAGCAGTAGATCCCCATGCCTGAAAATAAGCGTCCTGGTCGTCTACTTAAGCACCTTCTGACAGATCGGTGAGGGGTCCTAACCTTAGTAGCTGAGTTAGTAAACTTCAGGCGTTTTTGGCTTTGCACACCCCTAGACCATAAACCCTAAACCCTAAACCCTAAACCCTAAACCCAAACCGTAATTCAACCCTAGACCCTAAACACCCCGCTGTCAACTGGAAAGATGAAGCCTTCCTGGCTTGAAAAGTCCTTCGTCCTGCACCCGAAACCCTCCTTCCCAGCCATACTGTTCATGATTTGAATCCTGTTTAGGGTTTCTGGCTCGTTGGCCACATTGTATATGTTTGTTATAATAAAAACCTAATAAGGATTAACAATGATCAAGTCCTAATAAAGCGACAAACGGGAACCAGGTTTAAGCTTTAGGGCTTCCAACAAATTGTGAGAATTATGGTATATTAGTTGCTATGGGTAATGCAGGATTTATATCA